TTTGAGTACAAAATTTATATTTACAATAATTGAAATTTTATTTCTTTATTTGTTTGCCTCCAATGCAGATTTGCTCACGTCCACCTAATCAGTAGCATGTTCTTTCTCGCTCATTGCTATGTTTGTGCGCACAAATTCCCATATACTTATTTGGGCATTCAAAATTTGAATTTTTTTATAATTGCTGATTGAAATACTTGTCACGTATGGCCGAATAATATTTCGGACGGTATAATCGCTTTTACCAAAAAAGTAATATATGGTATATTTTGGGTTCTTCTCAATTTAAAAGTAGAATACTTAGATGCATATCCAAAGTAACCAGGGTGTGTAGGAAAATACACTAGTTTCAAACTGGTTCATTTTTGATTACAGTTTGACTGGAAATTTTCACACAACCTTTATAGTTATACATATCTGTCAGGTAGTGATCGAAGTAATAATATCTACTACAAGTGTAAATTTTTTCACAAAAAACGAGCTTTTTTGTGAAGCTACCATTTTGTCAATTATAAATATATTGACCAGTCCTTCGATCTTGACCTGTAATTTGCATATTTAGTAATAATAAATTTTTTTGGATTTATAGATTTGAAATAATTTTAAACAGATAAATCTTCCCCATGGCCAGACGCCTTCTTTCGTTTGTTTGCCTGGAGATAGACTACGGGAATTTTTCAAAATTAATTTGCAATTATTAAACATTATTTTTATTTATTCAAAAAATATTTCTTGAAAAAAAATTCACAAAAAAAAATTTGCTTTTACTTAGCAAACAAGGGTCCGGTTATAAAATAGCTGGCAAATCGTTTCGGTGTAAGCAGTTTTCGACATGAGCACACAATGTTGCAATAACTCTACCAATTGTGGCGTCAAGACTGAAATTGTGCAACGAAAAACTTAATTTTAATAAAAAAATGCATTGTTTTTGCATTTGAATTATTGTTTGTTTTTTATCAAACAACGCCAGCAATAAAAAATGGTTTTACAACATTTTGCAAAATCGATGACATATAAATGCACAAACATTTGAATATGGATATATATAATCTTTTAAGACTGAATGCTCATATCATATATGACTTGTTTATTTGATGAACGCATTAGACGCTAAAGCACACACACAAACACACACAGCTGTATCGCAACGGCAGAGGCAATACCGACACACCCACACAAGATGTTGCGACTTGCTTAATTTCAAAGGCAGTTCCGTTTGGTAATGATCTTTACTTCATGAAATATATCAAAGCACATACACACAGACACACATGTGCACAGACACATACATACATATATATACATTTATGTATATGTAAGTGCAATTGTTGACATTACAATGCTTGGCGTAGGTGGCGCACAAATTTGTCCGCATATGTGCATATGTATGTGTGTGTGTTTGTATATGTGTTTGTATGCATATTTTACTTGACGGATGATTCAGCGCGACCAATTGTTGTAATCCCTTGCACTACATCTCGCAATAAAAGTGTAATGTGCTGCACTTGGACTTTGGTGAAAGCTTCATTTAGTTTAGGAAATTTTAATGAATTTCCAAATGGCGATGCAAGCGTTTAATGTTGGAAAAAAAATTAAATATTTGACTTTAGAATGTGTAGAAATACGATTTTCTTAGCAGAACATCACAGATCCGGGAGTAGGTCCAAGAATTATGTGCAAATTGCGGCTAATTTTTTTTGTCTTAAATTTATGGTTTGCGGTTCGCGTTCATCGTGTTAGCGAGTGCGTTTGATGTTTGGAAAAAATATTATAAAAAACTTTAGGTTGTGTCGAATCTGTAATACCCTTCACAGGTGCATTTTTTATAGTATAAAAGCGCATAAAAATATCATAATCCGTTTGTATGACAGCTACAATAATCTGTGCCAAATTTCGTGAAGATACTTTGAAAGCTAAAAGAATTTTCAATACAAGAATTTGAGTTTGATCGGTAAGTTGTAAGGCAGCTGCACGTTATAGTAGTCCGATAGCGGCGATTTCGACAACTTCTTGAAAAAAAGACGTGTACAAAATGTCAGAAATATATCTCAAAAAGTGGGAAACTAGTTTGCATATACCTATACACACATAGACAGACGAACATGGTTAAAGCGACGAAGCTCGTCACGCAGATCATTTATATAGATCATGATTCGACGTTTTCTTCGAGATGTTACAAACTTCGTGTTAACTTAATAACTATTATTTTTAACTTAATTCACCCTGTTTAGGTTATAAATATATAAAATGTGTGTGAGTTTGTGAAGATGAAATAAAGAAAAAAGGTTATGCGAAATGAAAAGTAAACCCCAACTCGCGGCTTTTTGGCCACACAGCAGAGCATACATACTACATCTATACACAAGCATATATACGTGCGTATAAGCAATTCTTTATACATATTTTTACATCTTTTCTTCAGCCACACACTGTGCTCTATAATTGGTCTCCCTTTGTTAACTTCTGTCTTCACATCATTAATTAGCGCAAATAATGCTTAATAACTTAATTTCGCATGACAAATGTGACAGGCATAGAACTAAAACAGTTTTAATAAAAAAATGTTGAGTTTTGGCACACAAACTAAAAATCATAAAAAAATACATGAAAATAAGTGAGTTCATTACTCATAAACATCTGATGGTGCCAGCTAATAAAATCCAAATAGAATGACAACAATGAATATAGAAACATATACATATACAAGTATGTATAAAAAAAAGTATTTTCTATAAACTTTTGGAACAGAATTGTATATTTCTGTTTGTATATACTTGTAGCAAATGCTCGTAAATTTTCCGTTAACCACAACATGTGAATTCAATCATAAATATATGTTGTTGTTGTCAACATATATATTGTCAGTGAAAATATTTGCATAGCTTTGATGAATGCAGCAAATGTCGCAATTCTTGATTTTAGAATCTTAGTTTTTATCTATCAAAAACTGAGTGATATCGAGCCTAAAAATAAATGTCAAACCTAGGCAAAATTAGTTTTCATTTAAAAAAGGATAAGGCAACCTCAACTTTGATGGCAATAAAGACAATGCTCGAAGCTCAGCTTTAACGAAACTGTGGAAAAGAAAAAAAAAGCGGAAGAAAAAAAATAAAACAAGAAAAAACGTTAAGTTCGGTTGCAACGAAGCTATAATACCCTTCACAAATACAAAGGTCGCTTACAAGCACTTGATTCCGATCTAATTTCTTGAAGATACCTTCTCAAATAAAAAAGTTTTCCATGCAAGCGCCTTATTCCGATCGTTCAGTTAATATGGCAGCTATATGCTATTGGCATCCGATCTATCAATTTCTTCGAAGATTACATTGTTGCCTTAGGAAATAACTCATGCCAAATTTCGTGAAGATATTACGTCAAAGTTTCCCATACAAGAACTTGATTTTTATCGTTCAGTTTTTATGGCAGCTATTTGCTATAGTTATCCGATATCGGCCGTTTCGACAAACGAGCAGCTTCTTACTGAGGAAAGGACAGGTGCGAAATTTCAGAACGATAGCTTAAAAACTGAGGGACTAGTTTGCGTATATGCAGATGGACAGACGGACAGACGGACGGACGGACCCACTTTTAAAGTAAAGTTTCGAGTTAAAATTTTTATTTCGTAAAAATTTTTTGATAAGTGTTCTAGAAGCTGTGGAGAGTCTGGCCAATTAACAGTTATAAACTTAAAAAAAATGTTAGTGGTCATTATTTCAGTTTTAAAAAAGTCTTATTTTTTTTAATTTTCTTTTTTTATATCTACTTAATATACCCTGTTCAGAGTATAAAAATCAGATTTATAATGCAAGTCCACTTCGTTCGCTTCATTGTTTTATTTATATTAATATACAGTATTAATTAATCGCGCTCAGGATAAGAGAGTTCTTAAAGGGTTATTCTTGTCTATAGACCCACATTTCAAGCGTTTTTTTGGTTGATAAATAAAAGCAATTCATATTTGAAGTTTAATATCGCAACTATCGAAATTAAAAAAATAAAATTTGTTTAAATTCTAGACTAGAATACCTTCTTAAGTTTAGACATTTAATAGATGAAAATAGGTTTTTTAAATAATTGCAAAGTCCTACAACATCAGCCTTTTTCATAATGACGAAAATATAAAAATAAAGCACTTGTAAGAATCGAATTAACGCTTAGTTCATTAATTTAACTTTCTATTAGTAACTTTTTTAACCTGTTTAGGGTATAAACATAAAGCAGCAGATATTGGGGTAAAAATAATTCTAATCCGCGATTGGCATCATTGGTCATTACTTTTTTTAAAAATTAAAGGTTAGGTGCTCTGGCAGAATTGGAAGGGTAAAAATCGTTCAATATATATAGCTAATATTTTTCTTAGGAGAATATTTTTAGTAAAAAAAAATATTTTACGAAGAAACTTCAATATCAGGACTACTCTCTGTATTCAAATATTTATAGCCTCGCGTAAATCGAGCTAGCCTAACATTTTCTTGAACTGCTAGATGTAAATTCACTTTCTGCGTATATATGTATGTATACTATACACAAACATATTATATATACATGTATTCATGTATGTTATGTATACCGAATATATTATATTATTAATTTTTTACTTTTTATAAAGCCACAACAATGCCAGTCCACCACACAACAACAATGCCAGTCACATTACATGCGACAATTTGACAGCTTAAGTGTCAGTTATTATCAATATTCTAATGACATGACAGCCCGGTAATTCTTCATATCCATATAACATGTATATGTAAGTGTGCAGCTTTGTGTGTGTGCGTGTGGATGCACCACACTCACTGTTATATTCAGACAGTTTACAAGTTTGTTGTACATTTTTACCTAATAAATCACGGGTGCACAAATATCGGTGAGCACTGGCAGTGTCAACCGTAATAACAACAACAAAAACAATAAAGTAAACATTACAACAAACATATGGAGGCTTGAAAAGAGCGCTTGGTTCTAAATATAGCTGCAGATCTAAGCGGATCTCTACGAAGCGAAAAAACGATTGCGAATATAAATTAAATCACAAGGTGAAAACGAGAAAAAATTATATAATCTAAAGTCAGAAACAACAAATTATGACGTATGTGTTTAATGGTGTGACACACCGCCAGCGTTTGGAAAAAAGTAACGCTCATTGAAGACACAAAGCAGTACGCAACGTCACTTATACAAACATACATATGTACTTACATACAATCACTATGGAATTCCAGCAAATTAAACCAAATTTCTGATTGGTAACTGCTTTTTGTTTATTTGCTTTGGCTTTAAGTTGGATTTTATTCATGCATGCGTACTGTCAACTCTAATGAGTCACTAACCAGTCAACAAGTCACAAACTACTCAATTTGAGAATAATCGCTGATACTTAAAAAACGACTGTTACTTCTTGAAATGTAAATTAGTCTATTATAAATCATCTGCAACAAAAAGGCGCAAAAAACATAAGCTAAACGATTAATAAAAGTTGTTTACTGGCAAGAGCCGCTGTGAGATCGTTTAGCGCTTTTTAAGTTATTAAAAGCTAGCGCTTACAACTGGAATGACGTGACTCAAAGGTCAAAGATAGTATTGAGCATTTTAAGACTATTTATCTTGCTTGCTACGTTCCTATAATCAAAAATTTTCCCGAAGATTAGTAGATTGACACGGACAGTTTGCCGGACGCTTAGACATGTTCTTACACCACTTTTTTAACAATATAAGGAACGATGTTTACTCTATGTGCTCAACTACAGTTGCATCGTTGACAGTTAAGAACCCTTTTGGCGAGTCAAATGCTACAAATGATATTTTATACACGACTGACATCAATTCCCACAGTGATTTTAACCGGCTGTTTTTCGCCAATCTAAGCCTGTGTGGATCGGTCAACACAAAAACAAAAGTATCAAGTATTCTAAACAAAATTCTGAACTTTACAACTATTAAATATTGTGAGAAATTAACACAAGTAATGATCGAAGGACTAGTCAAGATTATGATTTTAAACAAAATGGCGGTTTAGCAAAAAAATGTCGTTTTTTGTAAAAATTTACTTCAGAGTGGCTTAAAAAATCCAAATTATTAAAAAAAAAAATTATTCTTCAATCCAATACCAGACATCTATATTTATGGTAAGAAGGTCGTGTGAAAATGTCAATTCGATCAATCCAACGGTTTCGAAGGAATTTTTCACACCGACTCCGAAGACAGCGTTTTGTGAAAAATGCACAAAGGCCCTCGCGAAGCAAAAACGATATTTAAAAAATAACTGTAAAATCAGTTAAAACAAAAACAATGCGTTTAAGTCACTTTTGAAATTCGAGATAAAAACAAAAATCTTTAAGTTGGCTAATTGCGCAACAACAACGACCAAAGAACGTATATCATATAAAATACGTTCTCTGTCTCTGCAACGACTTTCATACAAAAATCCTTGGAAATTTAAAACACAACTCTAAAATCACTCAGAATAAAAATGTCTTCTTTTTTGTCGTATCTTTTTCGCACAGACCTATCGCAACCTTCTTTCACCATGCTCATTCGTAAATATTTACGAAAATGGTCAAAAGAAATAATGATGCCACTTTTCTAGTTAGATTTATGAAAGTGTTAAATTAATTTTTTTGAACGTTATTTTGATAAAATTGATAATTCACTATTTCTCACAATAGCAAATTACTACTTACCTTTACTAATCAAATTGTATTTTTGTAATGCAATTGAAAGTATTTAAATATAATCTAAGTAATATATTTTTCTGCAAATTCGCCAGTTATTCCTACAATGTGGCAACAACAGAAGCAAAGCAAAAATACACGTCATAAGTTGAGTAAAAGGAAAGTTGCAGACGCAAATACAAACAGTTATAGTGGAGGTAAGTGCCAACTATTTAGCAATATTACTATTTTTTACAAATTTCTCGCATGTTAAACCACATTATTTTCAGCGCAAAGATGCTATTTACGAAAACCATAAAGGGGCGGAAAACGAACGATCGCAGAAAGTGTGTAAAACAGAAATATTTAGAATTTTAGTTGGCTAAAGTAGCCAAACATCCGCAAATACATACAAAGACAACTTAGCAATGGATAATGACACAGCGCCAGCTGTTGGGCCCACAACTAGAAAGCGCAGCTGTTGTGTGCCCTATGAGAAGACCATCTGCAACTTTGACCCAGTAAGCACAAAGCATAACGTGAATCAAGCAACCATCGCTGCCATACGCAACGAGGCACTACTGCAGCTACAACAACACCAACAGCTGGCGCGCACTTCCATGCTCTATGTTAGCTTCGTAAATCTCTGCATATTCATAGCAGGCACGAGCGTAGCTTTCATACTCTACGAGTTCCTGCATTTCAATCCGTATGGTGTGTTATTGCGTCCGGCAAACAAACAGTTACAGCACCTGCCTGACAACCATTTCCTGCAAACGCGTGATGATTTCGCGGTTTACGCAGCGCCAGGCACGGGAGCGCTCGATTTGGATGCGCTCAAAGATATGTATGTTAGTGCGAAAGAAGTGGAGAGTGCGCGTGCTTCAGCAACCAATGTGAAAGAGGCACTTGACTCTTTGAAATTGGCAACGGAAATGCGCGCCTTGGGCAAGAGCGAGAAGGCGCAACGTTTATATGAGCATGCTTTTGCATTGGCGCCAAAGCATCCTGAAGTTTTGCTGCGCTACGGCGAGTATTTGGAGCATAGTCAACGCGATATTGTGCTGGCGGATCAATACTACTTCCAAGTAATTACTTAATCGCGCAGTTTATGCCAAATGACATTCTTAATTTAATATTATATTCAACTGTAGGCACTAATGCTCAACCCCACGAACACAGAAGCGGTGGCTAATCGTCAGCGCACCGCTGGCATTGTGCAATCCATTGACGAACGCAAGCTAGAGTTGCTTGACTTGAAGCGTGACGCACTTTCTGCAGTGCACGAATCGAACGCGGCATTGCGGCGTGCGAAAAAAGAGGCTTATTTCCAACATATCTATCACTCAGTGGGCATTGAGGGCAACACAATGACTTTGGCGCAAACGCGCTCCATTTTGGAGACACGCATGGCTATAGATGGCAAGTCGATCGATGAGCACAACGAAATTCTCGGTTTGGATTTGGCTATGAAGTACATCAATGCAAGCTTGGTTAACAAGTGAGTACACACTTTTGTCGAAAACTGACACTGGTAATTAAAAAAATAATAATAAATTCATGTTTGCTAGAATTGAGATAACAATGAAGGACATTTTAGAAATACATAGAAGGGTACTGGGTCACGTTGATCCCATCGAAGGTGGCGAATTTCGTCGTACGCAAGTGTATGTGGGCGGTCATGTGCCACCCGGCCCTGGCGATTTGGCAGTGCTCATGCAGCATTTCGAGCACTGGTTGAATGCGGAACAAACGGTTTCATTGCATCCCGTCAAGTAAGTGCTTAATACACTCGCAAATTACAACATTTATAAATGCTTTAATGAGTTTTACGCTAACTAAATTTGCTAAAACAGCGCAACAAATTTTTTATTGCTTTCTTATTTGTAAAAATATTAATGGGGTTTGTTGCTCCACAGACATGCGGCCTTGGCTCACTACAAACTGGTGCACATACACCCCTTTATCGACGGCAACGGCCGCACATCACGTCTACTCATGAACGCTTTGCTGATGCGCGCCGGCTATCCGCCCATTATAATACCAAAGCAGCAGCGGTTAGTATATAAACACGACAAATCACATAAGTATTCAAATAAATTATAATATCAACTTGCATACATTTATTTAACAGGCACAAATACTATCAGTTTCTACAAGTGGCCAACGAGGGTGATATACGCCCCTTCGTGCGTTTCATTGCCGATTGCACGGAGAAGACGCTCGATTTGTATCTGTGGGCGACGAGCGATCTGCCACAACAGATACCGATGTTGGCGCAAACCGAGCACGAGTTGGCGTATGTGGATAAGTTGGTGACACCGGTGACCGGTATGGGCGGTGAAACAGCAGATAAATTTGAATCAGGTTCCGGCGAAATTCCTTAACATTTCTTGAAGTTGTTGTTATTACTGTATGCCTTAGAATTTAGCGTCCGATCCCGGTTCGTGTGGTATTAATTTAAGTGTAGGTTGCATATGCAGGGTAATTAGTATAAATGAAAGATTTATTGTTTTAGGTTGTGAAAATCTGTGTAATTGTTTGTTGTTAGTACATACATATTTAATACTTCTGTAGACGTAGATATGCAACACTTGACTGTGATCTGTTAGAAGTGTGTGGGGTTTATGATAAAATTTGGCATATCGCTCCGCTATGTGAGCCAAAGCTGCTGTGTACATGGTATTCTTTTAATTTTTTTTTTGTATTTTTTTTTTTTTTGTTTTGTATTTACACGTCTAAATTGTAAAGAAAAAAGTATATTTTAAAATTTTTGTTTTAACGGTGCTCCCAAATTCGTGGCAGCGGTTTTGTGCGCGTGCACAATTTAATAGCAACAATGCCAAATATGTAGCTACATTTGCAAAACGTACGTTACTGCCAAAACGTAAACGATAACCAAAAAGTAACATGACTTTCAATAACAATTTACAACAATGTATGTATGTATATATTTTGTATATAAAAATTTAAGCATTAACACAACAAATCTGTTTGTAAGTATGTATGCCTACAACAAAGCGTACTTTTGTGGCATACACAGTCATAAGTCCTTAGTAAGACTCTATCATAAAGCACAAATAATTTGTAAATATGTGTATACATATGTGTGACTTTTGTATAAACAAAAATCTACTTGTATTGAAAGCACAAATTGCCAGCTGTTGGCTACTTAAATTCTAATGATATTTTCTATACTCGTATGTTTTGTGCAACGACAAAGAATTAAATTATTGCAATGGAATAAAAATTATTGTAACAAAATTCACAAATAAGTACGCTAAACTTATGCAAATGCAAATCTCTACAGCTTCGACCTTTGCAGATAGTCCTTGTAGGTGACTTCGCGCCACCAGCTCGGTCGTTCGAACACCTCGGGCGCCTGCACGATGGCGCACTGCAAATGCTGGTAAATCTGCACAAGCAAACACAAATGCAAAACACATCAATTTCAGTTTCACACAATATTTTTACAGTTACACATGCATACACTTACATTGCCATCGCTCATGCCGAGCGGCGAGTTGAGTATAAAGTCTGTTGGCGCAATTGCATCGATCAGCGATATGGCCTCGTGCTTCAGCACCGGCAGCAGCGCCAAAATGCCGTCATGGTAGAGCTCCGCATGCGCCTTGTTCTGGAAGTAGCCGCCTTGATAGTAGATGCCGATGTACTTCGTGACCAAATCTGCGCCGTAGAACGACAACAGCTGTGCGAGCACATTTTTCTCATTCGAAGGCGGCAAGTCGTTGACGAAGCGGTGGAACACATAGTAAATTGTGCGCTGTTAAAAAAACATATTTAAAATTCGCTATAAATTGATTGCCGTGTGCGCTTACCTGTGCATAGATAATGGATAGCTGTTGTGCGTTGAAAACTTGTATGTTGTTGCGCGTCTCAAAGGCGTCTTGTCCCTGCTTGCGCAAGCTTTCGTAGCGCTGCACTGTTCGATCCAGCTGGAAGGCAAGCAACCAATCCAACGCCTTCAAGAGGTCTGCAAGTAAGATGCGCTATATCTACAAGACTGAAACCACTCAAAAGTAACTACTCACTATCTGGTTGCAGCGCCTCTTGCACGCAGCGTTCGGTCGCCGTTGTACGCAATATCGCGTCCATATTCTTCAAGAAGATCACAGAACCCAATGGCGATATCTCCTCGAAATTGGCATTATTACGTCGCAGACTTATCAGCCAGTTAGACGCCTGCTGTATGAGCGTATTATTCTCGCCTTCGTAAGTACAATTGGCGTCGTTGTCATTGCGCAGCTCACCCAAGCCGGCTAACTTCAAGTAGCCATGGCCACCGCACGCTTCGCGACATTCCTGTATGCCATCGCGCGCTGCCCAAGTGCACACTGGCTTGGCGGCCGAGGAAACTGCATGTATTTCCATGCCTTTGTTGGAGGTATCTTCGCCCATAATGGTGCGAAAGGTCAAATCCACATTTTCTGTGCCGATCCACATGGTGAATATACGGAGCGCATAGGCGGTGGCCAAATGTGGCATGAGGCGATATTGTTGTGACTGATATTCGATAACAGGCCACTCTTCGTTGCTATCTTCGGGGCCGAATTGCTTGCGGCATGCGGAGTAGCGTGTGGCGATTGTTATCGCTTTGCTGAGCGCGGCATAACCTATTGAGCATATATTCGCCCGTCCAGCCGAGAGTGCACCCAATGAGGCGCCCAAACGTTTGCGACTGTCTTTGATTTTGCTCACATAATTGCCTTGCTCATCGATATCACCCGTCTTCGATAGCAAGTTCTCGCCGGGTATGCGGTATTCGTTGAACATCACAAAGCTGGCAAAAGAATTTCATACAAGATACGTGAATACCATAAAATAAAAAGGAAATACCGTTATGCTCACCCATTGTCTAAGCCATTCAAGCCGACCTTCTCACCCAAATCACCAACGGTCACACCAGGGAACGGCAGCAGCGTACGCTCGTTACGTATTGGCACGAGGAACGCATTCAGCCCTTGATATGCGTCGTCGGGCACATATAACTGTGCATATACGATGGCGTGCGTACAAGTCTTGCCCAAATTACCGACCCAACACTTGGCAGCCTCAAAGTCGGGTGTATGTATAATGAACTCACGCGTCTTGGGATCATAGGTGGCGCGCGTGCGCATACCACGTGCATTGGTGCCGTGTGAGATTTCCGTAAGCGCAAAAGCGCCCGAAATTTCATTATTTGCAATTTTCGCGGCATATTTGGTCAAACGCTCAGTGCCTAGCGAGAGAATTGTGCTGGGGAACATGCCATTCGAGAGCGAATACTTGACGGCAAAGCTGAAGTCATACGAGAACATGCTCTGTGCAAAGGCGAGAGAAAGCTGAGGCGCAGAGACGTACTGCAAACAATAAAAAATCATGTTAGTAACGGTATTAAAGTTTAGATTGATTTTTAACATTTGACTAACATCGCCTAATCCATAAAATTGCTTATCCCAGATTAATTGTCCGCGTTTATTGGCCAGTTGGCGTTGGCGATCCATTGTTGGTGACTCCAAGTCATGTTGAAAGTCGGGATGTTTTTCCATGAAATTCCATATGCGATGCTGAAAGAAATAATAGAATAAAAGCAATGACTGGATTATGATTTAAAAAATGTGGTAAGTACCAAGAAATCATTTAGTTCTTGAAATAATTTACCGTTACTTTCAAATTAAAAAGTAATAAGCTTGGAAATGTATACAATGTTTCGTGTATAAGTAGCAAGGCGCTTTAAGCGCTTTGAAGACAAACACTAAGGCGCCAAAAGGAGAATATGCGAAGATAGACCCGAAATTCTTTTTTCAAATAAATATCCAAAGAAATCGTATTTTATCAAATAATGCCCAAAAAGTCTGTACGTGTTAGTTGAAAAATTGGTTGGTCTCAAAATGGCACATCTATCATGAGAACACATGCAACGTTACAAGTCAAACTGTCAATTTATTCTTTGTTTACAAACCATTTGAAGTTGACGTGTCAAAGTATTTTTTTATTACGGAAAAAATTTAATATCGCGCAGTGATTGGATTCTTTGCTTTGAAAGGTTTAAAAGCAAAGGAAATTGATGAACAATTGTTAGATGTGTATAAGGAGTCCTCACCTTCAAAACGCACCGTTGTATTTTGAGCTGATGAATTAAAGCGTGGTCATACTAAGCTTGAAGACGATCCACGCGAAGAACGACCAAAAACCGCAACCACACCAAAAAACATTGAGCAAGTTCATAATATTGTTAGTGAAGATTCAAATTTGGCTAAGCGTGAAATTGCTAATGCCATAGAAATCTCAGACAAACTAGTACTTCATATTTTACACGAAGAATTACGTATGAAAAAGCTGTTTGGAAAGTTACACGTTAACAATTCAACAAAAACTTGAAAGCATCTCAGCATTTGGATCGTTTTAAGCAGAATAAAACCGATTTCTTGCGTCGTTTTATAACTATGGATGAGACTTGGATCTATCACCATGATTCTAAATTGAAACAAGAATGTTTACAGTGGACTGAAGCTGGTTGTTCAGCTTCAAAGCAGGTAAAGTCACAACGATCAGCAAAGAAGGTTGTGGAATCAGTTTTTCGGGATGCAAAAGTAATTTTGTTGATTGATTATCTGCAAAAAGGTAAAACTTTGAATATTGCAGCTTTTTGGATCAGCTGGATGAAAAAATTCTGGAGAAAAGACCTCTCTTACAGCACAAAAAAAAACCAACTGCTCACAAAGGTGTTTTAACAATGAAAAAATGTGAACCAGAGAGAAACCAGAAACAATTGCTGCGTAGAAAGCGGTTTTCGTCGAATGAAGAAGCTATTACAGCCGTAGACGAGTATTTTGCAGAGCTTCCGAAAAGTCATTATAGAGATGGCATAAAATTGTTAGAGGATCATTGGAATAAGTGTATTGAAGTTAAGGGAGATTATATTATATTGAATAAAAACATATATTTCGTTTCAAAAACAGTATTTTTTTATTTGGAGCGCAGAGACTTTTCAACCAACCTGTAAGTCTATCTATAGATTTCGTATTCTATCAAATAATGATCAAAAAGCCTCTGTAATAGATATGTATGCTTTCCTGTACTTATATACAAAATATATGCATTGTATTACTAAAAGATCGTATTTACTGTTTGTAAAATCAGTAAAGTTTTGCTATTTTGAAATCTACTGGTTCTGTTGGAGCTTCTTCCTAACCTCTTTCCTATTGAAATATTTATCTTTGTCTAAAGAACAGGTTAAAAGCTCAACAGGTTTCTTCAGACTTAACTTGCTTTTTAGAGAATTTTATAACCCTGAACACATTAGATCTTGAGAAACGTTCCAGGTTATTTTTCACAAGTTTGGCAATATTCCGTCTATTAGCTAGAATATATGTATAATTTTCATATATAAATTCTTTCAAACGTATGGAGTTTACACGATATGTACTGTGTTTTTTATACATCCATATATTGCTTTGATTTCCATACCGTGTATTTCTTTCTAATAAAATTATTTTATCTTAACAATGTGTACAATTTATTATTCATAACATTTCAATGATATCCACCATAAATGTATCCAGTTGTACACTTATAGTTAATACCATTAGTGTGACTGAATTCCCATATTTATTTTGTCCTCAAAGCCTTCCTATCAGATATAGTGGCAACACAAAGCGTTTAGGCTCTAACCAGTTCTAGTTTGCATTTTTTGGTATTTCTAACTTTTACAGTAATTTAGACTTTGTCACCCACATTTTAAAATAAAAAGAAATTAGGGTTCCAAGTTTATTTCCTTCGTTTTTCGTGTTTGACTCAACTCTCAAACAATTTCCGACAGCCTAGCTATTTATTTATAATAAGGGTGTGAACTTGCGCAAGCAAAAAAAGTGTGTCAGCTTGTAAATAAGCGCTAATAAATACTGTTATCATATCTATTGTTCAATGATTACTAACATTTCCAAGCGACAACACACATTTGTCGTTAGAACTAAGGCAAATCAGTTAATAAGTACATACCGATAATATGGATAAAGTTCGAATATACATACACTTGTATCATATTAACATACTAATATATCAAAAACCAAATCAAAAAAAAAAAAAAAACCGATGCAAATTCTGTTTCGAACATCAAACCAATAATAGCTGAATTCATAAAATCTACTACATTTTTTTGTCGGTTTCAATTCTAATTCCAACAGCTATCAGATTCCACAACACCCCGGATTGTTTAGTTCAAAGGTTATCTCTGGTATCTTGCCTGCACTCCATTATAAAAATATTGCATTTGCGAGCTGTTGTGGTGGATTTTGGCATGCTTTCGACACTAAGGGTCTTTTGCCAGTTAGTGGGCTAAGCGTTCTGCTATATTCTCCGACTTACTTTTCGCGCACAGCTCATTGTTCTGAACTACCTTCTGTTAAAAGCATATTTTGCAGCTGTGCGAATTACATTTAGCAAATTCATTGGAACGTGCAATATCTATATTTTTATAACAAATAGTATATATATAAAACGTTGAATTTGGATTTAAGATAATTTAAGCCACAAGTCTTTCTAACCGCCATACACCATTTTTCAGAGTTTCTGCTGGAGATAGGCTACGCTGTCAAAATTTTTCAAAATGAATTGCCGATTATTAAAGTACATTAACTTCTGACAATATTATAATTTTTTTTTTATTTGCTTATTAAATTGTCTTTAAATAAATAAAAAAATCACGCAAAAAAGTATTTTTTCTAATTTGCAAGTGAATGTAGCCACATGAAAAAGCAATGTTTCACAAGTTCAATAAAGTTCTTGAATAACGTAATTTAGATGGGTCACTATTGCAGCAACAACACACGACTTGAACGATGGCGTGCATTCAAATGTGAGCTTTGAATAATTGTAAACTTATGTAATGCGAAGACACCTCATTAAGCAACTCGTATTGAAAGCATTTAAAATTGTCGTTTCATTGTATAGATTTATAGTATGAGAACTGATTAGTGCATATATAACTGCAATTGTATGTATGCATTGCTTATAGATGAAACCAGATTATAATGGATACTGATTAGCCGTCTCATAATAATGTTAAAATAATTAACCAGAAGATTTATTTCATCTACTATCACCGCAGTTAGCCCCCACTGTGGTTGCATTAACTCGCCTCTGCTTGGTTTTACACTTTGTACTGACCTTTGTACTCTGATCAAAACAGCGAAAATCACTTTTAATGAATGTACGGAATTGATTAATAATAATTCATGTATTTGCATAGTCGTGGCAAAAAGTACACGCATTTCAACTATTTATTGTTATGTAATTACTGTTATGTGAAATTTTAATTGCTTGCATGCTCACCTTTAGTCGTATGTGCTCCTCACCCTCCAGAAGGACGTTCATGCGCTTGTAGCAAAACGTTGAAAGTTGGCGATATTTGGTCAATGGTCCAGTCTTGAAATCCGGGAAGATGATCTTGTCTTCGTATATGTTTTCCGAATGAAGCTCCACCGGCTCGACTTCACTAGGATTTTGTAAAATTGATAATAACTTCACTACAGTAGCCATTATTGTGTATTTTTTGGTAGATTTATTTTTTTCGAATTAATAAAACTAGACTAAACAAGAATGTGCGTGCAGCGCAAAGCTCGATTCAAGACTGGTTTGGTGGCCACTTTCATTTGTGGAAGCAAACCACTGTGTGTTTACGAGCTGGTCAACGCTCTGTCGGCATTGAATGACGCTCGTTTTGTTTGGCAGGCAAATTTGTAGTGACTCTCACAGTACGCTTAAGAAATGAGCGATCAAAACAAACACATAAAATTTAAACTGAACTTCGTGTGCGCTGTATGAAGTTATCATTTCTTTTTAACAGTTTATCTTCTTTTCAAAGGGGCGCACTTTAAAAAGCATTTTCAGTGCAATATTTATTTATTTTATTTAAATTAAAATGTTTTAACTAATAGCTGCATTATTAAATTATTTTCAAGCTTAACAAGCTAATTGTCTAATTTCTATATGGATTAGTAGTTATTTTTGTTAGAATTGTATTGCGGCAGCGCATCTTTTCGGCATAGATCCTACTAGAGCTTTACAGACTGAATTCGGTATTGAATACCACGCCTCTTGGACTTATTTCCATAGTTCCTCCTTATTTCATAACATCGATTCATTGATCTTATAGCTAAGTCTTGACCATACTCGCGGAATGCTTGTCATGTTGGAACTGCCAAACTAAAGGCATGTTCCCTTCAGCATAAGCAATCATCACATCGTCTAAAATTCTAAGGTAGTGATATAGATCCATAATTTCCCAAACCCAAAACAGCGGTCCAACTCCGTACCACGAAAAACATCCCCATATCATGATATTACCATTACCATCTCCTTGTTTGAAAGTTTTTATCGTGTAACGAGGATTCATTTCAGCATTCTTTGGACGTCGAACCCAATCGCTTCAATCGCTACCTATCATATTTATTTTAGATTTATCGGACCAAAGGACCTCACGATACTTTTTCTGCATATTCTTCAACGGTCCAATTGATATGTGCTGAAACAAAAGCGAACCGATTATTCCTTTCCGAAAAGATTATTTTCTAAAAGGCAACGCGCAACAGTACTCGAAGAAATTTCGACACCCAATTCTCTTCGGATAGCTACATCGCGCTTTGATAAAATCTCTATGTAATTGTCATTCTCCTGAGACGTCGTTTTTCGTGGCCTTACCCTCAATTCGCATTTTGTTTGGAGGTTTCAAAGCAGTAAACACAAATTTTTGAGATATTTTTTATAATTGTTAAAATTTTCCTTTGGGTATAAAAAACCGTTATCTTGCAAATGTTTTATAAGCTTAAGCTCTGCCGCTGTGCACTTTCAAACGTATTTATATTTCAAATTTTTTTATATTCAACGATTACAAATCAATTTAATTTACTTCATTTAATGTCTTTTTTATTTTATGTAATTTTATTCATCAAATATTCTACGCTTATTTAATATGTATTATTTTGTATTATTATTTTTTATTTATTTTTTGTTATTGTTAATTATTTGAATTACACTGTTTATTGCAATCTTGTCATAATAAACGAGCGTCGTAAATCTTTTAGTTGCGCTTCCCCGATCTACTTACCTATTATTATTATTTGACTCCATGTTGAACTTTCTACGCTTAAACAGCAATTCACGTTTAATGACAACCGCACAATTTAAGCACTGGACACTAACTGTTGTTTAGACACAAAAAAAAATATTGAGATAACTTATCAAATACACCGCTCATACCATTAAATAGATTATATGTATGTTATATGTTATGTATACTTTGCATCAAATCACTTTACATACATATGTATATATAATAAATTGGAGATAATCCGTCACTAGAAGGCAAAGCGTCATATCAACCTTTCCTCGTAAACCTTTTTCTACTACTTTGTTATCTACGGGCTAACGAAATATTTTCAACTGATATTTGCTCTCATTAAACAGCTACGCAGAAACACACTAATGGGTGGATGGGTTTAAGGCTTCCTCGATTACTTCACTACTTGTTTCGCATTGAGCCTTGAAGTAGTAACTTAGTCTTCTCAATGCATTTTCACTCAAACAAAATTGATAGGAATCAAACGCTATTGTGTATTAGTAATTCAGCAATCCAATAATTAGCGATTTGTAATAGCTGCTCGTAGTTATCTCGGTAATTTGTAGGCGCGGTTGCTGATAATGGCCTCGTTTTTGTGTGCAGCACTAGGTAAGAGCTTACGCGCCTGTGCCAAATAGCTTATTTACTGTTAGTTTTTACGATTTTTGATTAGATTCACTACTTGAATTCACGTATGATTGAATTTTACACGAAACACTCTAATTTCTGACGCACTTATTCAATGTTTTTGTTTGCGGTATTTTATTGTTTTGTTTTTTTAGCAGCAACGGCAGTTGTGTGAGAAATGTCAATAACAGCTGTTTGGGGTATTCACGAGTGAGTCAAATAAATGATATTAATTTTGTTTTTAATTACTCTTAGGGAATGCATGATAGGAAGTTATAACTGACAATGACTGTCAAATAAGCATCTAGAGAAAGTATTTTTACAAACAGAGTTTAAAAACAATATAAAGTTTAGTAAGATGCTACCTTCTTTTTCACAAATAACTTTTGGATATTTTACTGTTCCGTTGGGGTGAAGAACTGTGTAAGATTTCAAAAATTTCACAGTATCGAATATGAGCGTATTTTCCGAAAAGAGTTCATAGTCTTGCGCTTTTTAGAAGGCTAATTTATATTCTTGATATAATTTGAAGTCTTCTTATGTCTCAAATTCAATTTAGATTTATTGACTGCAGGCTCAAATCTCCGATTGGTCTTTATTGGTAGTAGGAAGACAACTAGTTTACTTTCTGCAAATCATAGCTTTGCGTTTACCCTCACTCATCGCTCAATTTTATGGTATGAAATATGTTTATTACAAATATCTGAAATATACCCACAAGTGGCGTAACTGTGTTCACTAACTTCATGCCCAAAACTAGACAACGTTTTTTCTATTATTTTTATTAACACATAAAAGACTAAAAAATGCTTGATTCTCTTCAGTAAATATTATTTATTTATGCTTATACATTTAATTAACATGAAACATTTCTTATAGTAATACTTTTTGATATATGGTTCATTATTATTGTTTATGTTAATTTGAGATTGGAAAAGTTTGTTTAGCCTTCGCGTCAAATACTATTACAAGCTCAAAGTTAGGAGCATATAAAACAGAATACACTAATTAACTCCTTCATATATATAAGAACAACGTCTGCATGTGTGTGTGACTGTGTTTGTTTATATAACTGTGTGCATGAAATTATATAAGTATGTAATTATGTCGATAACAAATTGTCTGTGGCTCTCAAAAGTGTTTTTACATTTTTCTTTGTAGCGAATAAGAGTTTAAGGATGTTTCTTTTCATTCAAAATAGAATTTACAGTTATTTTTTATCAAATGTGTTAGTGCGCTGAGGCTATTTTAAAATGCCGCCAGCCAATCGTTGCATTTTCAATTATATTTCCTTTCTCACTGAAATGAAGGTAGGTAACAAGTAGTCGTTAGTGGAGTAGTAGGATTGTTTACATTTAGTTTTGTTTATAGAAATTTCGTTAATCGCAAATCAAAGGCAAATACTACTTATCATCTTAAATGCTAGCATTACTACAACACTACTAATACATTACTTTCATTGCTGGGTCATTTTCGGTATAACTTTTGCCAAACTTACACACTTTCTTTCATTACTTTTCAACGCTGACGCTACACTGTTTATATAAAAAGCTAAAAAATTTGCATTTTTTATTTATAAATTTATTTACTTATAGTATAATGCTTAGGCAGCAATCTTGTTGCCGGCAAAATTTACTAGCAAATACATTTAAATTTATTTGTTTGCATGTATGTATGTATGTCTACTTAAAAATTACTTTGCTAGATTTTGTTGTTGTTATTGTAACGGCAGAAAGCATTCCTAAAGTAGTTTTGAGGAATGATGCCGAGTTGACAGTCCTTGGCCGGATAAAAATCCGGGTCCGTTCCGGTTATTTAGACCCGACTGTCGTGGGCACGTGCTATATTTAATTTTATATTTATGAACATATTTGATTCGCATTTTTGTTGTACATAAATACATACATACATTTTTATATACTTTATTTGTATTTTACTAAATTTTTCTCAGCCGTCTGTGTTAATTGACATAAAATAAAAGTGTGAACTCTTTAGAAATATATGTTTATGCATTTTCATTAAGAATTAAACCTATTGTTTATTTAGTTTTTACAACCATTTCTTTGGGAGTTCGAATAAAAGCGATTACTATCGTAATAACGCATATAGTTTTTAGGTTATGTGCGATGATTTAGGAAATTCTCGATTTTTTGTTAATATTTGCAACATAGTTTACGTAATTAAAAACATAAACAACTTGATTACGTACTTTATCACTTAAAAGCTTGTTTCTATTCTAAAAATATTTTAGTAAAAGTTTTTTTTATTAAAATAATTAATTAAAATTATATTTTTATTATTAATTATTAAAATTTTTTTCAAATTATTATTTTTTTTTTAGAAAAATTTAGCAGTTAATCCTGAAGCTATATATCACTACAACAAAAATATTCTTGCAATCGATAATATTTGCACTGAAAACAATCGTTACAGCGAATAAGTGTGTGTTTTTTATGAAATATTATTTCTGTGCTTGTGTTGTGTGCAACATACAAAATTAGTAACAATTCCTTTGCTAAATTTGCTTCAAAAATAATTGCACTGCATTTATTTACTATATTGTAAATCGTTTATTGTTTTGTAACGGCGTTATTTCGTAGTTGTAATATTTTATTACATTCATGATTGTTTGCTACTGACAAATAATTATTGTTCATGCTGTTATCGATTAATCGATGCGAATACACTTTTAAAAAAGGCGTTGGCGCTAATGAGCTTACACTTTAACGCCACTTTTCTACAAGCAATTTCTTCTTCTTCTATATACTTTTGAAGTCATTTAAATTTTAGCTATAAAATTCGTTAATACAAAATTAAAATTGTTTAAAATTGCAAATTTTCGCCACCTTAGGCGAAATTGGTTTACACACCTAACACGGCTGCTTTCGCTAAAAAAAATATTATTTACTGTATTAAAACGCTATTTAAAAGCAAACTCCCGTTTTTTCTTGCTTTTAAATTAAATTATAGCGTCTTTACGATTTTTTTTTATTAAACTAGTAATTCTTTCATAGTATCATTATGTAACACTAAATTATATTATTTTGTGGTTAAAAACAAAAGTTAACTGTGTATTTATTTGCGCTACACATACACTCTCATTTTCAACTCAATTCAATGTCTTTTCCATCAACGAATTCGCCGCCATAATGCCATGCGCATGCACCTGCTCCTCACCATTATGTTCCTGCTGCTGTTGCTTCCCCGCTGCTGCAACACCACCCGCCGCCATTCCATTGGCATGCTCCGCTCGTGCTGCCGCACTACTGCAGGCCGCGCCATTGTTCGCTTCATATCATCGACTCTGACACGAGCTGGCAGCTGAGGATGATGAAAAACCGGATTGTAGGCTGGTCATGGAGCCTTTGTAGTTGGCCGAGCTGAGCACCTCGTAGAAGAAGTTCAATTGTGCGGGGCCTTCAGCGCCGCTCGACGGGCTAAACCACTGCATGATGTAGGAGTGCGTGTGGTGCATTACATGGGAACCCTGTGCGCCGCAGAAAAAGCCAAAATTTATTAGTGCAATCCAACAGCAATAGCTGAATAGTAGAGCATACACACCTGCACACTTTCACGGTGTCGGCAAATGAGCGTCGGCTCCTCCTTGAAGTAGTGTTCGCCTTCCACGAAATCACTCATATCGAATATGGAAACAGAGGTGTCTAAATGTAAGGGAAAATAATTTGAGTTTCTAAAAGTGAGCAGTTCACTACATCTCTAAACTTACCAGTTTTTGGTGGCAGCTCTTTTGTGGCGCGATACAACGTGAAGTGTAGATCACTGCGCATCACGTCGAAATCCCAGGTTAGCACGCTCTTCGGGTCCTGATTCGGTATAATCACCTCGTGTATGTAACCGGTGCGTAGCTCAACGGTTTTGTAGAGACTGCGATGTTCATGCATCAATGCGCCACCGGCTTCCAGCGACTTTTTGACCTCCTCTTCCTCTGCATCGTCGTCTTCAAGCGAATTCATTTTATAGAGCGTTTTTGGCACGAGACCACCTTCGTGTATGAGTGTCTGTGTTTCGTGAAATGACAATGAAATTGAGAAAACAGTTAAATGTGATATGGTAAGTGATTAATTTCATTTTTAATTACAAAATGCATTATCCACACACACACATACACAGAATATAATTTAAAATTTGGCACAATGGCACCGTGCAAAAATGTAGTGAACCCGGAGGGTACATGAAATCTATGAGTTTCGTTACTTTTCGAATTGCTAGTCGCTTACTGTACTTATTTGGTAATTATTGATTTGAAATGATGTGATCTGAATGAAATTAAGTGCTTTGAAGCACTCTCGAGAATGTATGCTCTCACTTGTAGCTAGTGTTCTGTAGCACGGTTTTGCCCTATTTCATAAGAAATTCGAACAAGACTCTCTTTGACTTTTGACTTCTTCGGATTATTCATCACTTTTCCATCTTTTTCATTGTCTTATGAAAGTTTAGTGAAAAAACAGTCTACTTTCAATGGATACCCTAATGGTAATCCACTAAGCTTTTCCGTAGTGGCTTTATATGTGCCATAGTTTCCAATAAGAGAAAAATATTGTGTGAGCATTTTGTGAAGCTTTCGCTGCAATCAGTGATTGGGAGTGTGGAGAAGATGGACGACAATTTCTCCCGAGCCCGGTGTTCTCTGGCGGTCTAACCGGGCTAGGGTTGCTCTCTGCAATATTTGAATGTTGTCTATAACTTGAGATAATGTTTTATTTCACTAATTTTGTTTTTTATAGATTTAAAGAGGTATGTAAATAATATACGAAGAGCTTTTTAAGCTTTTTACGAGCTTCAAAATTAAGCCAGAAGATAAGCGTACTTATCAAAATGTAATCAGGGCTTTGAGCTCTCCGAAAGCTTAAATTAAAGCTCTCAGATTAATTCCAAACGTGTCTCGAAGTTGAAAACCCTTCTCACTAAAGACCGACAATATAAAGGAAACAAAAAAATGTTATAGCCAAATCAATATTAATCAATAAGCTCCGTTGAAATGAAAGCTTAGATATGAATGAGGGTTATTGGATAAAAGCGGCTCCTTGAAAGATCAGCTACTTCCTTTACTCTACAAATAGCTGGTTGGTTTATCTAATGACAAGACAAGTACATGACGCCTCTTTAAGCTTGGTGATATATGTGCATATGTATTTTGTGTAGATGAAGGTCAGTGAACTACTATCGAACATTTTATTATCGCTGTTCGGAAGCAAGACTCTAAGTGGAAATGCTCGAGACTTTCGTACAAAGTACAGCACATGACACACATTCATACTTATTTAAATTATATTTACTTTGAATAGTGCACATATATGAGGAGAGCACAAGAACTGGCACAAACATGATTTACATATATAACGGAAAATAATGTATTCACGATCACTTGACGCACGAAGCGCTCACAAATATGTATTTTGATTGACACTGGACATTTGGTGGAAATTTCTAAAAACATAAAAGCTAAGTAATAGCGCCTCTTACACAATCGCAATTAGGAAAAAAGCAATGCGTAAAATACTTTTGATTAATTATTTCCACATACGGAATGTAGGTCAATGCGGACTGAATTTCGTAATGAACAAAATTTTCATTTGTAGGCATTTAGAGAGGAAGAAAGTTGTACAATTAGATACCGTTAAATGAAAAATCATACCACAATATTTATGTATATTATTTACAGTATACAATAGTTTTCACACCACCCACCTTACATGGACCACCCAAAAAGTCCGGTATGATCTCCGAATCGATGTATTGTTCCAAGCCGTCCTTCATGTGCAGGCAATCGGGACCGCCGTAAAATAGAAATTTAGAGCGCGTATTTTCATCTGTATGTAAATGAAAATTATTAGCGCTCTGCTAACTGCTTTAATAAATTTATTGTAGAAGAACTTACGAATAAAAGCGCTCACAATTGTCCAGGCAATGGGAAAGACGCGCGGCGCACGCACCACCAGCACACGACCCATTGTTTCAGGGTAGTTGCGCTCGACCGTTTCGATGATATTGAGTAGAGCTTTTACACCCGGGCGCCAGAGATGACGCATGGAAAGACCCTCCAAGTCCACAAGCATACACCAACTCAACACGGGTTGACCCAATTTTTCGGCTGACTCCTTAATGCGCTGCATGCCCTCCTCACAAATGTGCAGCGTCTATAAAGATGAGGGATTGACTTAAACACGCTCCTCAAATTAGTTAAAGCGCACGTAAACTTACGAGCTTTAGTAAACCTTCGGTACCGATCGACTTCAGCAGACCTTTCACGTCCATGTGACCCAAACGCAGTATATATATCGGACGACCATCTTTGTCGTGATGATGCCATGCGCCCGGAAAGTGGTTCACTACCACCGCCGGCGCTTTGTAGTCCTTAACCAGCGAGTCGATGTTGTGCTCTTTGCGCCACTTTAGCGAATCCTTGAGCATGGTGCAGGCCTGGTTCACATGCCAGTCGCGTGCTGTCAAAAAACGCAGTATGGTCTGATAACTGGGCATTTGCTCCAAGTCCTCGACACCATTCAGCATTTTTCGCAGCTCCAACAGCTTCGACGCCTGCATCGGTGTGAGTGTGCCCAAATTTTTCGCTATAAAATCGCCATCGAGCAGCACATCATGGGAGGAGCGGCGCCTTTCCTCATCTTTAAGTTTCTGTATTGGCTCCTCACTAGCTTCACGTGTGTTCGGCGAACAGGGTGCATCGACTGGCGGCACCCAACGTTCCACTTTGGTTACGCCCTTCTCTTTCAGTTCGCTTATGAAATACTCGATGATTTCCTTGCCCTTCAGCGTTGTTTGTGTGTACTGCTTCATACCCATCTTCTCCATGGAGTGTTCGAAACCGAAAAAGTTCTTAATATCCAATGTGGCAGTCTGGTCGAAACAGGTCCAATCGGGATTGTCGGGATGTGCATAGTAACGGCAACGTTCGAAGATTTCTATACGTGATGAGAAACTCTCGTTCACAGCCTCTATACTCAAAGTGCGGTTGGCCATATCGAGGTAGTTGTGTTGCAGAAAATATACAAAGTCTACACCTATAAGTTTTTTGAAAATATACGGCGCATCGACGGCCAATTTGCAGCGGCGACTTGTATTGCGTTTCGCGCCGTTCTCCAAGACCTCGTCTTTGACGATCTCGCAATCGAGTACGATGGGCATTTGTGGACATTTTGGAAAGCGACATTCGTAAGCCTGAAATTAGCGAAGAAAAAAGAATGAGTTAAAAATTTAATAGTGGAAAAATAAATACTACAATATGAATAGTACAGTGATGCCCAATGTACAATTTTTAATGATTTACTTTTTTACCCTACAATTTTCCATTTCCGACTGCCTGTCTGTATATACCCAAAAATAGTCCTTCAGTTTTTGAGAAATCGATCTAAAATCTTGCACACGCCCTTTTCTCTTTAAGAAGCTGCTCATTTGTCGGAACCGTCGGTATCGGACCACTACAGCATATAGATGCCATAAAAACTGACTGATCCTAAACAAGTTCTTGCATAGAAAACTTTTTTATTAGAGAAGATATCATCACGAAATTTAGCACAGATTATTTTTCTAAGGCAATAGTGCAATCGACAAAAAAATTATTCAGATCAGACCACTATAACATATAGCTGCCATACAAACTGATCGATCAAAATCTAGTCCTTGTATGGAAAACTTTTTTATTAATGAAGATATCTTAACAAAATTAGACATGGATTATTTTTCGAAGCAACATTACCATCTCCGAACAAATGGCACAGATCGAAACTCTACAGCATGTAGTTGCCATACAATTTTAATTGTCTAATCAAAATCAAGTTGAAGAGCTTTTTATACTCTTTTGTGCTATAAGGACTTGTGAAGCATATTTTGCTATCGTATATTATTTTCTTTATAAAATTTGATTTACTTTCTACGTAACATTCCTTACGTCAAGCTTTTGAAGAGTTATGAAAGCTCATTTATGGCTTTCACTTATAAGTTACCTATATTCAGCTAGTGAACTCACGCAGAGCTTCTACAAAAGCATTTCAGAAAGTCTTTACTCTATTGTGCTTTAGTTTTAATGCATTGCATTTTGTGTTTGCCTCTGCAAAGACGGCTTCTTTTCATGCATTCAAAAATAACGCTGTCAATGACGCCATTCTCGCTGCGCCATCGCACAGCAGCTGTCACTGGCAAATCATTTGTACTGAACATCATAACAATAAAATTGCGCGCAATTCGAGCGAAGCAATGTTAAGGGCACTTACATAAAACTGTTTCCATATTAACCATTTGAGTGTGTAGGCATGTTGCGAATCACAACCATCCATCATACGCATTCATTTTTCATGCAAATTTGTCCCCTAAAATAGCGATAGTTCTGTCATAATGTAACTGTCACCAAGCTGTCTGGCCTGCTTGTCAATTTACCCTCCGCTCTTCCGCGCTATTTGTGCTTGAACTTGAACTTTTATAGAAAGCTGAACGCCACTCTTTTTAACAACACTTACAACAAGCAAAAATAAAAAGGAAATGAAGGCTATTTTTAGACTACACTGGGTAGAGGTTCGCCAAAAAAAGCAACAGCTATTTATTTATACAACACTTGCGTTTATAATATTTCGCTTAAACTTGTTATCAAAAGAATATACTTATTTATATATATAATTCGGCAAATATAAGCATAAACATAACCTTCCTCCGCTCTTCTTCTTGCTGATTTTCACATTTGCGGCACTTTGTGATTTATATTCTATTTTTATATTTTTTGTTTACATTGAACTTGTGGCGCAAATTGACGGTAGTTCTGTCTTGTATTGGTTTATTTCGTTTCGCAAGCATTTCGGTGCCATTTATAAAAGCCATCACTCGCGAAATGTTAATATTTTGACAGCTAAGAAATGCAGCAACAAAGAAATGAGAAAGAAATGCTTTGAATACAAAGGTAAACATTGAGATTTTTTAGCAGATTTAATACTTTGAAATAATAATTGCACGCTTAGCGCAGCGGAATGCCACCGAATGTGCTTTTATCATTTTATTTTTCGAAATTAAATTTTTTTAGGTTTCGAAATATTTACAATTTGGCTTGGTTTTTGGCTCTTTCTCATGTCTGCTCTGCTAATTTTCTCGCCTGATGCAATTAAAAGTTTGCTCATAAAGGCTAATTAAATGCCCACATTTATTTGCACACGCCAAACACATAAACAAACGCACAAAAGTGCTTGAAAAAGATTACAGCAGCTTCGGTTTGTCTGTGTATGTCTGTGTTTTGCACGAGGCAGCGACTAACCGCAATATTTGCAACAGCCTGTTTAAATATTTTTCACTGCGATTTTCCACCATTTCTGTTGTTGTTCTACACTTTAGCTTACTCAAGCCAATACTTAGCTAATTTTAGGTTTTTAAACTTTAATTGCTGTTTCTCTTGGTTAAATATTAATGTGAACAAGCTGGTGCGGTTAACGGTCAACAGTATTACAATTTAACTTTCGAGTTGTTTTTGTTGTAATCTTCACGAAGTCTGTTTCGGTGGTTTCTCTGCTAGGGAGTGATTTGAAACATCGCTAAAGGATATTCGCGAGATTTTTTTTAATAAAACGAACTCTAGTGTGAAATTCTTGTGGTTGAGGTCCACTTCTGTCTGATCCTGGGATGCTAAAAAATAATTTTACAAGTCGGATATCATGTCATAGTTAGGTTTGATTAGTTAAATATGCTGATATTCGCACTTGAACAGCGAGATGTGATGCCTAGAACTTCTAGATGTGCAAATTGCCTTCAGCCGGACACAAATTTATTGTCGGCGGCTAATATCAATTCAAGTCAATTCGCCTGATTTGTAGAAAATATGGAAACGGGTGTGGTTCGAAATTAGTCTGCGAAAACCGGACAGTAGAGGAGAGAGTGTCTAGATGTTTCCACCACATCTTTTCCGTGCAACTTTGACAAGTTACGTCCTCGCAAGCCTCACCGCGTAAGCGTCAATAGGACTGTGTTCAATTAGAATACCTATTTTTGCGGCAATATGAATATGCTGAGAGCAAGTAATTCAAAAGACTCCATACGCCCCGCTTTTGGCCAGAATGATTTCACTCACTGTCAGCGAGCTCAAGGCTTGTATAGCGGCTCTGATATCGAAGTGAATGCAGAAAGACGGCCTGAAAGACGATGTACTTCGGAGAAGCTACTACCTTGCTGGCTGTCACTTCCACTTGAAAAATATGCCACAATGGTCTGGCTGTCTGAGAGCTCCCGAAAAAAGACAAATTATTTCAATCTTCCCCTTGAGCTTCGATTCATCCGGAGATATGTGCGCGAAGAAGATGACACCAGGTGTAGACTCTGTACGCAATGGTTCAAGTTATCAAGGATGCAGTCGAAATAAGAGGAGATTTCGGAGAGTCCCTCTTTGGCACCCTTAATGTATCCGCTCGTTGAACACGTTTTAGCTTTAGCGAGCGCCCTTCAGCAGACTAATACACCATAAAACAATATTGGCTTAACCACGTTTCGTTAATCAGAAATACAACTTTAAGTGAGGTGACAGACTCCACCGCTTCACAATAGCTCCTTTACAACAATTGAAGGCGACCGATGCATTCCTCAACCTCTTTTCAATAATGTGCTTCCATGATAGCTTTCTATTAAGGACGCGGACCAAGTACTTCGCCTTATCGACAGGGTTAAGTCAAGAGCCCATAGAGAGAGAAGTGCTATATCCGGGAGTTTATACCTTGATTCTGCACTACAGATTACGGTGCATTCTCGACTCAGGTGTCCTGGAGTTTCCGGCTCCATAATATATTTTTCTAAACCAAGTGAACTTCAAGAAAAATTATACAAGTGAAAGAATTAAAAACCTATGCCTTCAAAGAGTGTGGTTATTGGGACCTTGTAGTCAGGATAGCAATTTCTTCATACTCAGAGTAGGCATCAAGTCGAGAGTTGTATGCTTCGAGTAGTTAGAGAACAAAATTTCGATTATAGGTAGAGAATTTGGAAAGAGTTCTGAGAGCTCAAGCTAGAGTTCTCCATTATACCGTTTATGTAAAACTTCCTTTATTCAAAGGGGATTACTTCGTGATCACGTGTGTCTCAGAAAAGTAATCCGTTAGGGATTAACAACGTTTTAGTAGCATTAAAGTTTCCAGTAACCAAAAAAAAAAATAAAAAAAAAAAAACTTCAAAATTTAAGCGTAGATTGTTTTTAAACTTTTAATTACCCCCAACCCGTAAACTTTATTTTATAGGTCATTGAAATATACGTATATAGTGAAACTTCAAGCAATGAAATATTTATAGGCATTCTGATTCGCTGCTCGTAAAATGCTTTGCTTGAAAAATTCATGCACCAACTAGAAATTAACTTGAAAACTGACGGTCAAGCACTTGCAGTCATGTGACGTTAATGAAAAATTTAAACTTTTACACTTCCAACATGAAATACCGCAGCGACGTACACGTTTTGACCCAGAAAAGAAAGGACTTGCTCAATAACGGCATATCGCGCATAAAAATTGGTTCGAGCGAGTTTCTTATATATCACAACGCAGTCACTGCAACGCGTCCCCCCGGAGAGTTACCACACATGCCAACACAAATGACTTTTTAACTTGCATTCCCTTGTGTATATCACGGCGAAGAGTTTAAATGCTAGCATACCACAAGGCGCGGCGACCATCAAAAGCGCGCTAGCGTGCAATTGAAAGGTTCGTGTAGAAAACAGCTGAAAATCCAGCAAACACGCACTCGAAATTCACACACAAACAAGTCTAGAAAAACTGTAAAACTTTCGTTGCCAACAAATGCAGTGCAGTCGTTCGTCTCTTATTTATTGTACGCAAATGTATGTGGTTGTTATTCTTTTTTTAAAGAAATGTACCTAAATACGGTAATGCTAAGACACCGTTTTTTTTTTTTAAATAGCGTCTTGACTCATTAACCGCAGCGAGGATGTGAAGCCATACGGTTTACGTCGGCACTCGTCCTCCACTTGATGGCACTTGATAGCCTTGGTTTATCGGCCGCGTTCGGCACAATCGACACCATTAACCTCCACAACTCGGTTGGCAGGTGTCAAGGTTACTTGCTTTAAAGGTAAATACGAGCGCTCTTGTTGTTGCGCCTCCAGCTGGTTAGGGCCGCTTAAAACAGTCGGCACAGTACCCGCATTCATTTATTGAGTTGTCTGCTAAGTGCGCCAATTATCTCAT